GTAATGTACACATCACGTGTCACTGGCGTGAACAATCAGACAGGAAGGTACTCTCACGACACTCTACTCAACGTATTTTGCACGGGTAGTGATTGTTGGAGCCCTAGAGGTGTACACGTATACCAAAACGTATAGATAAAAATGTTGGTAGATATTTATAATAAGGGAGCCACATCCGATTTTGGTGATTTTTCAATATGTTATTATAATTGTCAAAAAGAAAGTGTCTCTGTCAACTCTGAAGAGTATAATGCTTTAGAGTTGGTTAGAGACAGTTGAAGAAAAGAGGTGTAATAAAAAAATCTATTATTATTATATCTCTACATTGAGTATGGAAAATAATTTATTACTAAGTCTAGTACGGAAGCACTAATGGTGATCACGCTGTTTTCTTGCTATCGTGTCCCCCAAGCTTCTCGTCACCTCGCCCCCTCCCCCATCGTTCTCCCGGGTCGGTCCCACTTCTGACCCTGTCTCGGCGTGGTTATCTCTGTCCTGTCCGTGTTTCGTCTCCCTGACCCGTCCGTCGTCGCTTTTTTTTTCTCTCTCGAGCCTGCAAGAGGACCGTGCCGAACGCAGCCTCGCACACAAGGTGAGACCGCCACTCGTCGCTATTTTCGCGCGCCCTCCAACCCCATCCGCCCCCTCCCCCCTGGCCCTACGGTTCGTGTATTGTTCGCGACTCGTATCGGCGCCTGTTAATTGGGGAAAGGATAATTAGCGTTCGATCAGGTAGAGCGGGTCGCGGGACTCCCGCTTCGCTGGAATTAAAAGAATGGATCACAATGCTGCCCACGGCTCTCGATAGATGGTAACATACTGACTACACCCCCTTGATTCGCTGAGAAACTGGGTCGACGTGTGTTTCTGTCTTCCCCTCCGAGTCGAATCTTGCGTGGGTGTACACATCGTGCGAGGATAAGAGCCGCGGAATTTTTAAATTTCATTTCGTGAAAAATTTAAATTTCATTTTTAAATGAAAGTTTGAGATTGTCTGAACGATCGATTAAATGGGGGGAGGATCGGAAAATCGATCTTTTTGTAGCTGTACGATCGGACATTTTTATAGGACAATATAGCACGATTCAAGGAGGGCTTTATGATGATTGTACCAAATTTTTTGTTAATCCTTTTTTCCAGAGTTTTTACGGTCATCTTCAGTCTTTTTTTATAGATAAATCTATAATTTTGTTTACCTCCATCGCTCCAGATTCCCTCTAGAACCATTCAAAACAGAGTAAACAGAAGTTAAACAGAGGCTGGGATTCGTGCAAAAAACAAATTCATGATAGGTTGACAGTACGTCGCACTCATGGAGACATTACTGTATTTAGTAGGCCACATTCGTGTCGGTGGCAATCGAATTAATTCGCGAATTTATCCGTGACTCGTGGTTTCCTTGCGGCCAATGAGACGTGAAAATTCAGTCGACTTCGTCGTTGATATCATCGTTCGTCAAATGAAATTTATTTTTTGCTCGAATCGCGAGACTTAAGTCTGATTCTTTGTCATGGATTCCATAAAATAGGTTAATAAATGATACCAAAAAAAATAATAAGTAGGCATGTAAGCAAACAAGTATTCGTTTTATAGAAAACAATATCAATATAAAGTGTAATAGCGGTAGAAAGATAAAGCTTAGTTTCTCTCCGTTTATCAGTTCATCTTGTTTCGTTGCCTATCGACGACAGCCGTAGTTAAAGGGTTAATTTAATATTTAAAAATTCTTTTTATTTTTTTCAAAATTTTACTGTGTTTGATTCAGTGCTGATAAATATTCATCGGCGTACTTGAAACTGACCTCAGAATCGAATGGCATTATCGTGTGTATTCTTCGTGAATTAACGACGATTATTCGCGCTCGCGGCTGTGTACACGCACGCATACACATGGACTCGCCCCGGGACGTTTGAATTAACGTCTGAATCCCGGATGCGTCTGAAATCGGTCACGTTAAGATAGCTTCCGCGTTTGGTATCGTAGCTATCTACCTGAGGCCCAATGGCCGTTTATACTTTTTATCAATTTTACCAATTTAATTTGAATGATTAATATCTTAAACTACTTGACAATACAAAAATGGAAAAAAATGTTACAAATGATTGGAAAAAATAAAAATTTGTTTTCTTCATTATCTCCCGGTGCAAGCCACACATTTGTTTATGTTACTGATGCAAGAAAAGTGATTTTACAGTTTTAAATATTTATTTAATAAAAATGCCTTATAACGTGCACGCTACGATCGGAAAAAAAGGGACATTCGCTGAGAAAAACATAAAAGAAGAAACTGGAAAATTCATGAAACCTGTCTTACTGGATTTCCTACTTACTTGATGCTCATCTGTCGCGTTGGTTTACAACGAATTACGAACAATCAATACGGTTCAAATAACCACTACAATTTATACACATTGACGTAACTGAACAATATCGATAGTGGTCGGACAAAGGACTCAGTAGTACAGGCGTATAATACAGCGGACGAATCCTGAAACTCGGTTTATTCAAGTGTCATTTTTGTACCTGAAGAATATTACATTTATTTGTTTACTGTGAAAAACAAACAGACTAACATTTTATTGTTATTTAATTTTATTATAACGATCAATAACAGTAGATATATATTCTATCCACGAGAAGGTATACATTGTGGTCCAGGGCTGTAATACGAGGATAAATTTCCATAAATCTTCGACATCAGAATCCATGACTTTACTCGAATTGTTTTAGTGATATCTTCCTGTTTTGCTCTAACAGCAACGTTAATAAATGAAGGTTCTGTGTTCTGGGGAAAAACGTAGGAAAAAAAGAAAATCGGAGATAGGGGCATGGGGAACCTAAGTATCATTGATCGTAGACATTTATCTGGCGCTGCGATCAGAAGCAAACTTGGGTAGCTGGCAGACGAAATCGTTCTCTACCAAGCGAGCTGTCGATAGCAGCCCTCTGAGATCGTTATGCCGTGGTTCCGTGTTGTTGGATCTTCTTGCGATTCGGCCTTATCGATAGGCCGTGTTCTCCTGTCAAGCGTCGATTACATTCGATGAATGTTTCTGGGAACGTTTGAAAGACTCGTCCGAGATCTTGTGAATCTTCGAGTCTCCACAGATTCTGATCGTCTGACAGAGCAGATATTTCATACGATTTGAACATTGTTAACTACAAACACAATATCAAGAATTGGGTTGTCGAGCGAAATTTCTTCTCTTGCGAAGACAACTATCTTTATAATCCAAAGAGCAATATGTTCTGAATATATCAATGAATATAAGTTCACGATATATTAAAGTTGACAAACAATATTACGTATTTCGAAGGTTCAACGACTTCTAATGCACGCCCTAAAAATTACACGAGTCCACTCTTCGCATCCTTCTTTAAAAGAATATTTCGATAGTATAAGAATTTAAAAGTTAACATGAATTTCGATGAAAGTATCTTTAGGATTTCAGTAATTGTAAAATAAAAAATCTGAAATCCGTGATTTTGACGGATTCGGTAGTACTATTGTTAACAAAGTAATACAACTAATCGAAAACCACCTTCACATTCATTAGTTTTCATATCGACTACTCGCTCCATTCGATATGAGTACCTTTTTTTCGATACCGAGTGTACATATATCGCGATCGAAAGTATCGATATGAAAAAAATACTCGGTATCGAAACGATCGTACCGATTGTTTACTTGTATTTACTCGAAATCGGTTCATGCCTACCTGTGCAACGACGACGAGATCGTTTCAAGCAACCGTGCGGCTCTTCGATTAGAGAGTATATCGATTCGCGTCAGAGACCGCGCCCCGTGTTAACGAGAATCTGCGGACAATTTGTCGAGAGCGATAAAACGCGACGATAAGCCGGCCAAGTGTCCAGAATCGCAAGGACGAGTCGGGAGATGGAAAGATTAAGAAGTGGAACAAGAGTCGAGGACGGTTTTGCAAACGAGCCGCTCACGGGACAGTACCCAAGGGTAAACTGTTCGGAGTCAGAGGGCAAGAATATATACCGTGTTTCAACCGATCACGATCCAGATACAGGCGGCGTTACTTCCTGCGACGATTTCGTTGCTCGTTTGCGAAACGAGAATCGGCTGACATCACGCGCGTTCACCGGTGATTTCAACGCGTGGCCGTGACGTGAATGCATATTTCGTTTCTTGCTTTCTGTATGCTCCATCGTATACATTTTTCTTAGACGAATTTCATTCTAACGTTAGGTGTAATAATACACGGTGAGTCGATAAGAACTACTATCTAAAATAACTCGTTACCTATTGACTGTATGAAAAATCGTTTAAATGAATTATGTACCATTTTAAAGGATGCATCGGATGGATACAATTTGATGTTTTTATATCATATTTTGTTTTTGAGACACTAAGGTGACCTTGATTTGTTAATACCTTGACTTTTGTTAATACCACATTGTTGCCAATAGAAGCACGAATTAAACGACATAAAGCATGATGATATAAAAAAAAGGTCGCATTCACCTTGAAAAAACTCAAGGTCACCTTCTAACGAATTTATCGTTGTATAACCCATTTATTGCTTCAGCAAATTGACATGATTATGCTGCTATTGCTATCGTGCTAAGTATTTATTCATTGAAAGTAATAAGCTTCGAGATCTTTAATAAGGAGACGAGTGTATCTCGTAGAAATACAATGTATATTTCGTCGTAACAAACGTCGAACGTGTTTCTTTTTTTCAGGGAGGGCGAGGGTGGCGGCGGTGGCGGCCGTCCCGTGACCAGCGCTGGTGGTGGAAGAGCGACCACCGGGGTCAGTTTGCACACCAGCAGCACAGAATCCGTTCGTTCACCCCATCACCACCTCGGCCAGCAGCTGCAGCAGCTGCCCGGCAACAACAATAACAACAACAACAACAACCATAACAACAACAATAACTGCCACGCCGGTAATAACCCCGCCGCGAACAATCATCCACGGCTTAACAAAGATGACAGCATCAAGATCAGCATCGAGAACACGAACACTTGCACCGACAGCCTCGTCACTGCTCTAGACGACGAGACCTTGCTCATCACTGATTTCCTGGGAGACACAGGTGAGTCTACTATCCCTTCCCTGCAACGCCGAACCATTCCTGTATCTTCGTACAATTCGACGGTTTAAGATAGGTTCAGCAAATTCTTTATAATCATAAATTTAGTTGAAAATTGAACAGAACCATCTTAAAATTCGACTTTCGATTGCTACCAAAGAATCACAAGGTCGACGGTAAAACTATTGAAAATGAAAGGTTATAACAATTTCTTTTCAACACTGTAGTTGATAGTACAAAAGTAAGTAATTTGTCATTAGGGTTAGAATCGTAATAATTCGTCCGTACTGAACGTGGTTAAATTTTCGATATTTCCTCTTCGTATGTGAGAACTAAAGTTTCGAGTTTGCAAAGGATATAAATGTAACGTTTCTGCTTTATTCTTACAAAATCATTTTCATTCGATTGAAACATGCCTTCGTGATGATTAATAAATTCCCGTCAAATGAGGATATTATCAAATACCATTCCGTTTTTTGTTCTATAAATATGGAACTGAGTCTGCAGATGTATTTTTTTTTTTTTTATAAAAATGCTCTCTTCGCGGCATTTTCTCTGTTGTTGAACGGAGAAACAAAATGTCAACGAAAAATCGGCGAGGCACGTGTTGACGGCGAAATACATATATGGAGGGCACCGTTGACGGGTCGCACAAGAATGGCCGTTGAATCACTCGTTTGCTGGTCCGACAAATGTCCGTAACGAGCCTATTATCGGCGGACGCAATATAGAAAAGCAATTGAGGCAGTCGCACATTTAGCGAACGTGTTTACGCGCCGCATGTAGAACGACATAAACAGGTCGGAACCTCCTTCGACGATGGAATTGCCCTCGGAGCATTTTATCGAACGACTGAGAATTTTCGTTCCTTTCTTTTATACTCTTTATCGCGTCCTTTCAGTTACCACTAAAATCAATCCGGTTGAGATGCCCCAGTTACCATGATACATTTTAGAAAATATAGGTAACTGTGCGTTATAATTAGACTGCGAATTTTAATGAGTTTTCTATTTTATTCTGAGCCCAATAAGATACTTAAGAAGATAAAGAAATTCCTACATTTGTTCTTGTCTGTATGAATCACTTTATAAAATATCACTTTTCATAAAAATCTGCAGTCTACTTATAATCCAGATCGTTCTGTCAATTTAAGCAAAGAAACAAGAAGTATACTTAAATATATCATTGAATTCTTCTCGAAGTTGCCTATAGTGCTACGCAGTCAAAACTATATATAGTGACATTGGAAACAAGTTGAGGTGGCCTCGACTTTTCATTAAAATAAAACTTGTTTGGAATTCGTAATATTGCAATTTGTACTTGATACGAAGCTGATTAACTCTTGCTCGTAATATTTTTTTGCCCGACTATCGGAACTGCCTGAAGAATCTTGCGCAGGTAGTTGGATTGTTTCAAGAATAATAAAGGGAATAATTCAGGCGGCCTCGAGGTTGTAACGCGTTGTGTAGCTCATGGCGAGTCTCGGGGTTGTGGTTTCAGGTAAGCCGGTTTCTCATGCGGTTTTCGGAGTCGAAGAGGGTAGATTCCAGGGGTTAGTGTTACATACCTACGTACTTTGAATGGTTACTCGAAGCTCCGCATCAAAGTGCAACTGGCCACCGTTGAAATTCTGTGGATTGTTCGTTTTGAAATAAAGAGAAACATGAACGCGTCGAATGGAAATCAGAAACCCCCCGTTTTGCTGAATCGAATGATGGAATTATGGAACACTTGAAAGATCTCAAGAATCGTTTAATCCCAATTGGCTACTATTATGGAACAAAACAGTTGTCAGGAATCAGTTTAAACCGTCGCACGAATCGTAAAATCTCGTCGAGAGCGTGACAAAAACAATCCTTAAATGTTCCATGAAACGTATGGCTACACAATCGCGGTGAATCATAAAGCTTTGGCGTTGTGTTTTCCTGCTGCGTCGGGGGTTACCAGTTTCGTAAGAACCGATTAACATACTGGTCTCTGCGCCGCTGGTCGAGGTTTTACGAGTAACCATTAAGGAATGCTTTATTTTACAATTCCATGGACAGCGATTACATTGATTTAACAACGATCGATGCTTTGTGGTATTTTGCGCTATTTCGCTTCTTGCTACGGGTCTGAGATAATTAAAGAGGTTTCTGCCTGTTACAAAAGAACACTTAGTACAATGTATCGGGCTATTGTAAAATGACTTTGGTATGATGCTAACATACTTGGTATTCCCGGTACAGTTTCACGAGCAATCACTTTTTTATTATTTTCGAATTCCATGGATTATTGTTAAATTGTTCTTGGAATACGTGTGTATATCTTGTTCGTTATTGAACCGGTCAGGAATCTGTCGTTCTTAAATTAGCACGCTTGATAAGGGTAATCTAATCGCCTGGAGGCCTTCCTATTCACCCGAGACCACGGATACGAAATAATTTCTATGTATTCTTGAGGACACTTTCAGACTTCTAGCGGAACGTCCGGTCCAACTTGGTTAATCCCCCCCCCCCCCCCCCCCACTGGAATCCCTTCAAACCCTCGAAGATCCCTGGGATCACGAACTCCGGACGAACACGGACAGGTTAATTTCAATCTCCGCGCAACTCCATGAACATTCGGCCGCGCACACGGTATCACCTCTCGGGACCTAAAATAGAGGTGTCTCGGCGAGGAAATATTCGAAAACTCCGGGAAAATCAAAAAAGTTTGAGAAAGTCTAGGAAATTCGGAAATCTTTTTCTTTATCCGAAGAATTGAACAAGGTCTGAATACACAAGACTATTATACTGTTGTAAAAATAAATGTTTAGAAACTGTACTGCAATAGAAGGAAACGTTTGCAAACGGTAATGTGAAAGATCAGATCAATAACAGCTAATGCCAAGAGGTAAGGCTCGGTGAAGCTATCAAATGAACGCTTGAGTGTTGCGTCTTGTCACTTACACACATTACGTATGGAACAGGGTACTATAAACTCACGAAGTATGAAAAAATCTGAGGGGAGAAGGTCGTGACCTCCACTTATGAGATGGAATCACCCCATATCTTTCCTCCCTCTTTCGGACCAGACCCTATCATCTCACAGTTCACACTCTAGTTAGGATACGGCTTAATGGTTGTGACCGTAAACATATACAGGGTGTCCCAAAATAATTGTAAGTCCTTGCACGGGGTGATTCCTGGAGTGATTGGAAATAACTTTTTCCTCAGCGAAAAAGTTCTCCGAGGCTTTGTTAACAAGATATTAACGAAGAACCCCGACCAATGAGAGCGCGAGTGTGTCGGCTGACCCCTCGCGGTAACGCGTAGTCAACGTTTATCAACGTCGAACAAGTGAACGGACGATCGACGAGAAGAGAACGCTAGCGCGTGATTGGCTCCCGTTTATTGCATCATTCCTGCAAAATTTCGTCCTCTATTGCCCCCCAAAAGATGCAATAAAAGAATACCTACTGCATCTGTAAGCGAAGGCTATGTTCCTAAGATGCAAATACAGTGAATCCTCTATAAGTATCCGAAGGCTCCTCAGCACTGAACATTAAATATTTCATAAACTAATAAACATACGCGGCTGAAACAAATATCATCGAGTTCAGAATTCGAAGCTCTATCACTGTGCTGTACGGGAGACCGAGGCAGATTCCAACAACAAAAATTTTCACAATTTTTTCTCAAAAGTGTTTTCCTCAATCAGGAAATAATTTGCGTGACTTACTGCTCACATCTTTGGTCAACTCATTGAGTGTAAATATGTGATAAGATCTTTGATACTTAGACATCTATGTTCATCTTAAACGAATCTGAACTTTTAGCACGTCTGTTTTATTTAGTTAAACAAAAATATGAATACAAATGAACATTTTCAAAAAATATAAATGAAAATGGACATCATTATTAAGCATTTGATCATGGATTAAACGATCATTGCTTATTCACTGACAGATACAAGGAATATTTCTGTCAGTGCAGTTTTCATATCTTCTTTAGAAGTAGAATATTTTCTTGTTCTTTTCTTGTATGTTCTCATCCTAAAAGTAACTAATATTTCAACAAATAGCAAGTTTGCTTTATTACCATTTAGAGCAAAGTAAGTAGTAATATGTTACATTTTGCCCCAAGCAATTTGTTATAAATTACCTCGAGCTTGAATTTTTCGTTTTATCCCAGCAAACGAGAAACTAAACATTAAATTCCTGAAATGCGTACATATTATAATAAACCAATATGTAATAATTCGTTTGCGACAAAGAAGCAAACATTCAAATTATTTACTTACGTGCTCCAAACAATAAAAATCTACCCTGTAGCTACAAAACAGACACTTGATGATCGATTGTTACAATGAAACCGACGATATCAATAATTTCAAACTGCTCTAGCATCCTGCTGCGTTGCAAAATTTGTCGTTCAGAAAATTGTAACTATCTTACAACTTACCCCTTGTTACAATCTCTCCCGGTCTCCCCTACCTCATTAAAAAGTCAGCGCTGCACCTGGAGACATATCCCTGTCAGTGCCGAGGAGTCTTTGAACACTCATCGAAGATTTACTGTAAGGTACTATACTGCGCCGACGCGCCTCACGGATTCGAATTGTAGATTATTACGCGCGGGTTCATGCGATAACTGCTCGCTACGTATGTTGTTGTTTGCGGTCCAGTGACGCAACCCGCGGCGCCCCGACCAGTGTCAAGGCCGTCGATCCAGGGGGATCTATACCACACAAGCGTTGACGCCGTTAGGAAGACGCGACGGCAAGAATCGAAATCCACACGCTGGCTCTCCCATGAGAAGAGGTCCCGCCAACAAAACCGGTCAGTCTCTTCTTTCGCTCTCTTCCGTCCGCGGGCCGCTTTCGCTGGTCACTCGCTCCTGTTCGCCGTTCTAGTCGCGCGTGCCCGCACGTCATTTATACACAGCCTCCGCTCCCAGCGTACCGGTTAAGCGCGAAAACCAGAGCAGGACCGCTTTTCCTCGCGATCCTGAGTCTGCTTCGAACGGCGGGGGGACGACGATGGTCGACGAATCGTCGCGCAACAGCCTGCTAGACGAGTTGAGAAGACCGTTGCTACGGAAACAGGGACGACCGGACGATAACGCGAAGGTTCGTCGCGTGTTCCTCGCCAGCAGGCCAGTATCGTATCAAACGAACGGATCCGGTGAGTCGTCCCTTGGATTATTGGCCGGTCGATCAGCCTCCAGAGATGTTGGACCCGTCCTCGAGGATGCGGGTTCGTTTATAGATCTGACACAACTGGCGATGTCGACGGTGATAGTGATCTATTAGTACTGTGGGATGATTGATTTTGTCCTAGAAATCTTCAGGCTGTTGAATGGGTAGTGCTCGCGGTCTTTCTGTGGCGAAGACGATTTATTTGTACGTGTACTGTGCAGGAACTTCGTTTCCTCATACAGCTAGCAACGTGGATCTTGCCGTGGTCTTCTTGCCTGTTGAGTCGTCTTTGAGGATTTTGGTTGTCTGTGGGTTCTCTCGAATTGTGACAATGAAGGTGATTTTGGCGATCTATTTTTTTTTTCTCCTAGAAATCTTGAAACTGTTGAATGTACTTATAGTGCTAGTGGTCTTTCTGCGGCGAAGATTGTTTATTTGACCGTGTACTGTGCAGACACTTCGTTTTCTGGTACAGCGAGCCACGTGGATCTTGCGGTCGTTGTCTTGCCTGTTGGGTGGTCTTCGAGGATTTTGGTTGTCTGTGCGTCCTCTCGAATTGTGACGATGATGGTGATTTTGGTAATCTATTAGTACTCGATGGGATGATTGCTTTCTTCTTTGTGTCTGGCAGCTGTTAATGTTCAGTGCTAGTTATCCTTCCATACCAAGGATTGTTGAGTTCTCTGTGTATTGTCCTCCAAAAAACGTTCTTTCGTCTATAAAGGTGATTTAGTCTCCATCACCGTGTTCCATCTGTCACGAATTATTCAACTTTCGTATGTCCTCTGTTCTGAACGGAATTATTTATTTGTGTAAAATGATCCGTGAATTCGAATCCAATCATCAAACAGTGAATTTCATTTCGAATCGTAAAATGTTCAATATTTACGACAAGGCGTTTTATATAGAACATGTTGAAAAAGGCGCGAAAATTTTCCTTCAATTTCCAGCATTTGTATATTATTCCATAAGAAATCTACACCTGTATAAATACCCACCGTCTATTTGTTACACTTAGCAATTATCGTGAATTTTGTTATTTCGCTTACACTGTCATTCGACCATTAAGACGAAAATTTCATTATTAAACGTCAGTTGTTTCCCGGTTTTCAGAGACGGAAATTATTTATGATTCAGTCGAATGCTTCAGTCATTTATTCGAGTTCAAGATGTAATTAGCGTTTTTCCTCGTGAGAATGATCTCGCGGGATAATGTCCTAGTCCCGTCTCACGACGGTTATAATAGGTTTACTTCTATTACAGTAATTATTCGAGTGTTCAAGATGACCCACCGACGAATTTTAGATCAGTTCCGAAGCGATTACGTTTTTGCTCCGTTAGTAGCAACTCTCTGTCAGTTGTTCCGAAGTTTTCTCGACAATAATTGCCATAATATTAATCGCTCATACATATAATACGCTGTGTTAACGAGTTCCGATGAACTTCGCCGGTAAGTTTCTTACTTCTCGACAGTCGCTACTATTTTACTAATTAATTCATGTATTCATTAATGACTTACCCGGTCACTTTTTTTCCTCTTCGAGACGAGTCTTCCGACAATGTAACCATAAATTTTTGATCGGGGACTATACATGATTCATGAATGTACTTTAAAAATTGGAATTGATATCGGTATCGGTACAGATAAACGAAATTGGTATTTGTATTGAATACAGATTAGACGAAATTGGAGTTGGCATTGATACAGATAAAAAGAAATTGGTATTGTTACGCATGAACAGAAATCGGTATTGTTATGGATAAATAGAAACTGGTATCGGTGCAGATAAAATCAAAACTGGTATTATTGGTATTGATACAGAAACAAACGAAATTGGTATTTATATTGATACAGATAAAAAGACATTGGTAATAATACAGACAAAATGAAATTTCTATACCGGTATTGATACAGATACGAAGAAATTGGTATCGGTATTGATACAAACAAACTGAAATTCGTATGTTGGTGTATTATTATATATAAGACGGAATTACTATCGGTATTGATACAAATAAGAATTTAATTGGTACCAATACAGACGGGACAAACTCGGTATTGGCATTGATGCACATTCAGTCATTGTTATGGGTAATTAGAACTTAATATTGGTACAAATAAATAAAAAAAAAACTTTCGAATATTCACTCTTGAGCGATAACGTGACAGGAAACACGAAGTCTTGAAAATCGCCTATAGTATCACGGATATAAACCAGATACGTACTTCGATCTCTGCTTTCGAGTTGCACGTAGAGAAGACTCACAGAGAGAGAAAGACATAGAGATGATCATCTTGGTTAACTGTAATACAACGGAGCAAATGAACGGTGTCCCGAGGTTTTTGCTGTTTCTCTCGTGTGGCCGTCTCATGGTGGTACGTTGGTTGGAAAGGAAGTCGACGGGAGAGCGGAATGGGCTCGCGTGGTATATACGATATACGTCAATGCCCGATGGAGGGAAGACGAGGGGGGGATTTTGTGTGTACCCACTTGGGCGCAATGTGTTCCTGTAACTGTACATGGGCGTGGACTCCTGTCGACATTAACTTTCGACGTTATTACTGTCATTATACAGGGTGGGTCTGTCTCTTGAAATTAATCGCCTTGACTTTACGTCAAGGACCTCTCGGGACCAGTGTTGTCAGAGTTTCTATAATATGCTTGGAAGCACAGTTGTTTAAAATAGTCCAAAGTCGCAATAGTACTGTCAAAAAAAAAAAATGCTTGAAGGTGCTGTTAATGCGAGATTTTTGAAATGGAGCTTCAAATTGCAAAACGATAAAGCACTTTTCGATTTGTATTTGCACAAGGAATGTCCATGTTGCGGATTGTTCCATCCTTTTGTGACAACCTGTATGTATACATGGTATGTATGCACTACGATATTCTCAATAGAAGTCATTGGATTATTGCTAAGAGACAGCTTCTTCGGATAACAGAACGTTCAAGTATTAGGATATTTGGAATAACGGATGTTCGAATACGGAAGGCTCTACTGTATATAGTTCAACAGCAATGGCAGATCACGATAATGAATAAGTGACGATTTCTTCTTTGACGCTGATTCAAAGGTGAGTTGTCGACGTACTGTAATCAAACACCCCGCTAATAGGCTGCCGGTCGTTAAGGTGTTAATCATACCGGATCGCAGATAAGCGAGGATTATAGTAAAAAAGGAATTGCATGCGGTGAAATTATGGGTAATTTACCTGATAGTCGAGTTTCTCTTCCACGAGATTTAATATAAGTCACTCGACAGGGGAAATATTTGCAGTTGTTTAAACACGTGTCAACATAAACTGTGGGCCGAAAGTTTCGTGTCACTGCCTGGAATTAAGAGAAACTGGATCTTTTTAAGAGGGTATTCCTACTCGAAGACGTTATTTTTAAGCGATTGTTAGAACTAAGAATAAATGGACCAAAGAGTCATAGTGCAGTAGTTTCTTGTGGCAATTCAGTAAATCCTCGATGACTGTTCGAAGGCTCCTCGGCACTGAACATTAAATATTTCATAAACTAATGGTCATATGCGGCTGAAACAAATACCATTGGCTTCAGAATCTCAGGCTCTATTACTCTGCTAAACCCCATTAAACAGCCGGCGTTACATATGGGGACGTTTCCTTGTCAGTACCAAGGCGCCTTCGAACACTCGTATTGGACACATGGTTCACGATTCGGTACCGTCACTCCACGTAACCAGAACCTTTCCAAGAGATAAATGCGTAACATGGTCAAACGACACGATTTTGTTTCAGGCAACGAGATGAATTACAAGGGCAGCGGGAAGGTCCACTTCGGAGTGGACGACGTGTCCCTGTATGGGACGCCGAAGGAGGAGCCTGGCCCGGCGTTGCCGGGCCAGGAGGTCAAGCAGAGCTTCCTGAAGAATCAGCTACAGGCCCTGTTCCAACCGACGGACAACAAGCTGGCCATGAAGTTGTTCGGCAGCAAGAAGGCGCTGATGAAGGAACGGATCAGGCAAAAGGCTGCAGGTCACTGGGTCATCCATCCTTGCTCCAGTTTTCGGTGAGTCCTTCAGATAGGCAGTCTATCAAACTGTTTCGCCTTGACAGGCCGCCTGGTATCGACCAGCAACTTTGTCCGCCATCCTCCTTCACCTCCCCCTTCCCCATTGGCGTACACGTTATAAGATACGGTGGGGGCGTTTTCTTATGGCGGAAGAGTTGTGTTATCGAAGCGCCGGTTCTCGTACCTTTGACTCCCCGACTCCCTCTTCGAGAATCTTCAAAGGAAATGCCGCGACAGAGAAAGAACGACCTTTGGATTCTGAACGCAGGGCTGTAGAGCTTCTTAAACAAAAGGTTAGGGACGTTCCAAGGACAAGATTAGCGGGCAAAAAACGTCTCGGCACTTGTTACAGCCCCCTTCTGTACACAGGTCGTCGCCTTAGTCTTTAACTGTTTTAAGTCGATTTTTAAAAAAAAATTTAATTAACTGACCTATGTGCATCTCATTGGTCCAAAGAATACTAATTCATCGTAACGTAATGAAAACTCAACCTCGAGAAGAAATATTCTTTTAAGTTCTAACTTCGAAATTTTTGTTTTTCTTTGTTAATGGTTGTATCTCCAAATACTAATAACAATGGAAAATTTATGTTGATAACAAGATAAAATTTTGTTAACTGTTGTAATAAATAGGTATTCGGTAGATGATATTGTAGTCTGTTTGATTATTTTATTACGTTTAAGCTTCTATAATATTAAGCTTCCGTAAACTTTAACTCAGCTTTCTCAATTTTGAAACTAATGGAGATGGAACAATTAAGAATTAGAGCAACGAGGTGTGTACATGGTTCGAGAATTGGTTTTGCTTCTGTTTATCGAAAATTAATGATCGCGGAAGAGAGAGCGAGAGTTGTAGAATATAGGCGAGAAAAGTGAAATGTTGTTCGTCTACGAAAAAAACATTAACGGGCCAACAAACGTCTGGTTACTTAATATTGACTATTACTTAACCCTTTCACTATCACTTTTTAAAAATTGACTTACACTACTGCTGTCACATTATAAGAGAAGGGAGGCATGTTGAGGAAGCTCAGGAAGAATGCAAATAAAATGAGAACTGTACCTAATTAGGTCTTTAATAATCATAATACAATTATAAGTTAACAGTCTATTATTTGGCACATGCTTGGGACAATATAAAGTCAGACTTTTAAGTTATTACGGTCTCAGTTTCTCCCGACCGAATACTTTCTGCCGGCGATAGAATTAATTAATATATAATTCCAGAAAACAATTGACCCTTTTGCGTAATAGGGAGGAATGGTTGATGGGATGACAAGGTCGGATTGAATGATACACCCTGTACACCTTTGTAGGAAGTCGGTGTATCGCGCGATCGAAGGGGAGATGATTGTTTCTGGCTCTGACCAGTTTGCTTTGAATTGGGATACCGGTTCGAGTGTCCTCCAGCAGCCTATTTGATTTCTATAAAAAGTTTAGCCGCCCATAATGTTGTAGGGCACAGCAGAACTTCCAATGTCTGAATTAACGTAGGGAGGTCATGACTGATCGGACCAGAAAATGTTCGCATAGTAGAATCATTTTTTCTCATAATCAAATCAAATAATAATACAAGACAACCGCAAGGGATACGCTGTATTGGATCGTTGACTTGTAAGTTCAGCAGATTTCTTACTTTCGAATAATTCGATTGAAGTAACAATAGCATAGTAACTGTTTCAAATTGTTGCACGCGACTGATATCACATCGGTATCGAAAATATCGTTAGGCATCGAAACGGGTGGGATCGATATTTCCCGGAAATATTAAAACAGATATTGTTTCGGTATAGTACTTGTATCGGCTTGGGTAACGGCTAGAAGAAGTATCGGTATCGAAACTCGACACTCCAAGTACCACAAATTTCGATACCTTACGATACCACTCCGTTTCCGTATTTTGGCACTGCATGGGGTATTGTACGAATGTCATCGATATGTATCGGTATCGGCCCGATCGTTAGACAGTTGGCTCGAAGGGAGGTCGATCGGTAACGAGGAATGAAATTCGAAGGATACAGACACGGGACAACCTGGACCACTCCTGTCTGTTCTAATTACCAATTAAAACGTCTAATTAGAGCGCCTTGCCGCACCAGAGAGTAGACACTCCCAGGGATCGAACGAATTGTTACATGGAAACGTATTTCTTCGCGATTGCGCGGTGATCGGCTTTGACCCAGTTCGCAATCTTGCCGGAGGGGAAAACAATCGATGATTAATCCGACTGCGTTTGAATGACACACGGCCCCGCGGAAGCGCTTCCGGTGGCGGCGACGAATATTCACGGGCCAGGTGAAAATTTAGGGGCTCAGTGGAAAAGGGGCACATGCCACATCCACGTCGATTTTTAGTTTTCTTTTTGGGCAAAAACAATATCCCCTTACTAATTTAATACTGTTTAATTACTGTTGTGTATACTTATATACACATAATTTGTTAACTATATTTATAGTTCCTTAACTGTTATCATGCAAAATAAATATTTTTTAATTTTGATTTTCATAAAATGAAACAAAGATCCTTAAGAAATAAATGGTTTTATTTAATATGAATATTCTATTCGACGTGTGTGAATACGTACAAAACTAACGTGTAGTGTTTCTAATAATTATGTTATAGTTGATACTGTCGACCATTATATGGCTAAATATCATATGCTTTTTTCAATTGTATAAAAAGATAGTTAGTTCTTGTATACGAGTGATGTTACAAAGATCAACTTATAAAATTAATTCGATCGAATTTCGTTTGCTTAATATTTTAACAATCATTGAAACAGTTTTGATTACTATTCTTATTAGTCAAAATTTTACATATAATAAACGGTCTGCGATGCTTCTGAGTTTGGCCGTCCAGCTGCAGGGGCACATTTTGCACCCCCGTCAGGAACGGCTCCGATTTGTACGATTCTTCCTATGATCCTCATGCCTCAGTCCCGTTCAAGAGAAAATTCTAGACACCTTGGGGAGACACACCGTGGTTTCCGTCGTTTGCGACAGGATAAAGCACTTTCTCGTATCGGGGTCGAATTCCTTGGTATGGGGGCCGGTCCCGAGAACTGGAATGCATCCTTCGTGAGCGGATGTATTTCGCGGGAAAGACTGAACAAAGAAGGTACATTCGGTCCTGTGGGAGCCAGGATAACTTGGGCCTTCGGTCGATCGATCTGTATGGCGGCGTCCTAGTTCGGGATAAAAATCACACGGCTCTGACAATATTTTCGATGATAATCAAGATTTGTAAAAATGCAGTATAAATCAACAATAGAATGTTCATTTCGCCAGAAAATGTAATTTTTTGTTTTGGAAAAAATGAATAACATTTTTTCTTTTCGATATTCTCGAAGCCATTGATACTTCATTGAGTAAAATTATATTTGTGTTCACAACGAAATGACAATTGAACTCTCATAAATCACTGTAGATACATTTCCCTAATTTTCTATCGTACATACAGATTATTCTCTCTATACGTGTAAAAGGCTTGGGTGACTCACTCATCAATGCCCTGCTCAAACTGCTGGTAGGTACGTAGATAAAAAACGTGAAATTTTGACAATATACTACTTTTATGATGTAGGCAAGGGATAAGAACGGATTTTCGAAAATATGGACTCTAAAGAGGTAAAAAGGGGGTAGACATTTTCTTCGAAGAATACCCACATCAAGTCGCTAAAGTTCGAGACGTAAAGTTCAGCGTATAAACTCCACATTAAAAATAAACAAACACGTCTTCGAGCGTTTTTCGAAATTGAACCTCGTTTATGTTAATAGTTGTGAACATTACTGCAGTATTGCAACACTTCCTTGTGGAAACACTATTCGCTATGGGGTTTTGTATCAGGGACATACCTCATGCAGGTGCCATTTCTCTATTCTTCTCATTTCTCCTTTTTTTTCGTTTTCTTTTTTTCAAACGTTCTCGTAGTGGACAAGACCGGTACAAACGCCTGACAAAGGACGAATTTCCATCCGTTTCGCGCGAGTGCAACCGAAACGAAAATTACCGGGCCGCCTCGCGTCGTTCCATAACCGTTCGCGAAACAGGGTCTGCCGTGCGTTCCGTCGTGCAAATTGCCTGGAATTGCGCCGACCTTCCGCTCAGAATCTTGCTTAATTACTGATAATATTGAGGCCCCCGTCCCGGTTCCAAGCCATGTACGTGGACGTTGAAATTTTCATTCGAACGACTGCTAACGAGAGCCGCCCCTGTATTCTATTCTTCCCTTCTGGAAATGGATCGCTGGAACCGAGCAGAAATCGTTCAATTATTCAGACGAGACTTCGTGGAATCGCGGAATCTCCGCTCTAATATGGGAAGATGTTGCACGAAACGGAATCCGGTGCAATTAGAACGCTTTTAGACCTTCTGGCATTAGATTTGATGTACATAGGTACCGTCGACCAAGGTTTCTGCCTCGATTTCAGTTGCAATTCAAGGACGGTAACAGCATAGAGAAGCCAATCAAATTTTTTGTAGGAAGAATCTATACACTTTTTATTATTCAAGTTGATATATGTATACAGGGTGAGTCAATAAGAAATACTATATAAAATAACTTGTTACCTATTGGTTGTATCTGAAAACATTTTAATGAGTTATGTCACACTTTAACTCTTTAGGGTTAGGTGAGTTAAAAACTGTCCCACCTTTTGCTTAGCTTCTTATGCATGGTGGGATATATTTTAACCCATCTCCAAAAGTTGACGTTACTCATAGTCATAGAATTTAATATTTTATTTAAAGTCCATTTTTTATATTAAAAAAAGTTCTGTGCAACTAGGGTTTTTATTTTCTTTAAAATCGTGTGCCTCCAAGAGTTAAGGGACGAATCGGATGGATACAGTTTGATTTTTTTTTATATCTTAATTTTTTTCCGAGATATCAAGGTGACCTTGAGTTCTTTCAATGCATCCCTTCTTAATACCATCATGCTATATTTCGTTGAATTCGTCCTTCTATTGGTAACATAGTGTTCTGGTACGTCCACCAACA